ACAGGCCGACGGGGCCAATAACAAGCACAATCTTGAAAATCAATGAGATCCCTAATCCATACCCCTTTATTCAGAGAATCCGAGCCTCAATTAACATTAGTCTTGGCCCCTTTGAAAATAGTCTTTTCGGCAGATTTCCAAGTTTGGGATTCTGGGCAACCCGCATTTCACAATAGGAGGAGTTTTAATATCAACAGGGAAGCGACTGTTTGTGCTTGTTTGAGTATTAATTATTACCGCATGTAAATACTGCCATTAATATTAACGGGCCACGGGGGCTACTGTCTGACGTTTTTGTAACTTGTTCTGACATTCTTCTGACTTGTTTCCTGACTTTGTTCTGACTGACTTTCTGACCTACATCGTCACTCTTGAAATGCGATCGACATGAGGCTACTGTAGAGACCTAGACAGCTTCCATAAGTACCAGCCTGTCCAGCTCTGAAATGCTGCAAAACCGCACCATCTACCTTCCACATGCCATATCCAACAGCCGGAAACCTTAGGCCTTAAACACGAACCCTGAGCCCTAGGTGTACACCCCAAACTCCGTACAGCTGCGGTTGGAGGATGGCTGGACTGACTGCAGTTGGGACATCTTTCGCGGTGGGGGCACCACATTCGCTGCCTTCGGCCGCGGAGGGCATGTCCCATTCCTTCAGGACCCCAGCCCAAGGTTCACGGTTTGCGGTTGAAGGTGTGGGGTTGCTTACTAGGGTGCAAGTGAGGGACCAAAACCTGATCTCCCCAGCCAAAGTGATATAACGTTGCCTCCAGAGACCTATGATAAGCATAGCAGTGAAGAGATGTTGTCAGAAGTCATAGCAGCAGGGAGAGCGAGAGTTGAATCTGAGTGATTTGCCTGTTCTGTCAGGAGGTGACAGAAGTCTAGCCAAGTAGTAGCAACAGCTGCGGAAATCACAACGTGGCGTGCTGTAACCTCAGGGCTTGGACAGGAACTTACCAGCATGAGGTTGGTCCTGAAATCAGAAGCAGCAGGAGGAGTAGTTGTTGCAGTAGCGGTGGCGGCGGCGATGGCAGCGGCGGCAGCAGCAGGAGCGATGGCGGGGGCGCATTGGTGCATTGGCGGTGGCGGCGCATGGCGGCGCTGGTGCTAGTGCTGGGGCTGGGGGCGGCGGCGGTAGCGGTGGCGGTGGCGGTGGCAGCAACAGCAGTAGCAGCAGCAGGAGGAATAGTAGCAGTAGCCGTGCACTCATGATACTAAGGTCAAGAATAACCACGGTACCCTAATTTCATCAAGACCGCGCGGTTGTTATTGTCGTTGCCTTCGCCGTTACCGTTGCCGTCCTCAGCGGTGATGCTGCTGCACCGGCCACTGATAGCAGAGAGGCAGTCGAGCATGGGAAATGTACTTACTACATAAGCAAACTTTGAGCGCCAGATGTACCACAGGAGATGCTTGCCCAGAAGAAGACGACTCCCAAAGTCGAGGAGCTCGTGCAGAGTCTTGTCTGAGATTGCAATCTTGCATTGCTACCAGGGTCCGGGCATGTAGCCGCGTAGCTGCTTCTTCTAAGTCCTATTGGTGGACCCCCAGCGTTGCGGGGGCTGAGCCTGCCGCCAGATCATCCCAGTAGTCTCGTGAAAGCAATTTAAGGGCATGGTTTCCCGAATTTGAACGGACGGCAGTACTCCTGTAGGTGTTACCATGCATAGCGCAGTAATAGCAATGTTTTGTTGTTTTGTTGAGCCCTATTGTATCACACGTGCATGTTGATCAGGAAGCAACTCCAGCTGCTCTCTTGCGTGGCGAAGAACCGGACGACTGAACCTGGCACGGTAACTGGATGTGACAAGCTGGTGGAGGACATGAAGCCACTCTGATGACATCTGGTTTGAATTGTAGGAGTATTGAGGGGTTTTCAAGCCATAGAGAACGCATTGAAAGATCCTGGCGTAGACTCTGTTGTTTCGTTCTTTGACATTGTCCCGTGCATCCTTGAATCCCACGGCATAAAGTGTGTAGATGCCGTCAGGTGGCATTAGCTGAATGCGCATAGTGAGTTGTGGACTCGTTGCTGACAGTTGCACAGGCTCGCATTGAAACGCTGAAAAGGCGGTCTGGTATAGAAGCCCAATAAAACTATACTGGTAGTTTCCATATTCTTTTCCCTTATCCCCATATATATCCCTATATACCCCCTGTCAAAAGTCCTTAAGCAAGAAGTCCTCTAGCGACAATTGTAGCTGAGGCAACAAGCAGCCCAAGACAGTGTGCAAATGTCGCACTGCTCGGAGTTTCTGTCTTAACGCAGGACATCTACAAACTGTAGACCCGCGCAGCCTTGTATGCGTTTCCATCAAAAAGGATCCTGAATCCCCCCATTTTTTTGTTCACCATAAGGCTGCATGTAGAAGATGGTGGACGTAAAGTTAGGTGCACCCAATAAGGGGTAGGATATGATGCTCCCGACAACCTTCCCAGACCCCTGGAAGGATCTAAAAATGAGATCCCCTATATAGACCCATTATAACCCCTAGATAATCCTTATAGAATTTCCCATATGGTTCTAGGGGATCTAATTTTTAGATCCCTTTGGGGGTCTGGGTTCAGTACCAAGGTACATGGTGAGCTGCGCTACAGCGATGGAGCTCCAGGAGCTCAATACTGCAGCCCTTCCGCCACAAGACGGTCCTTGCAAGAAGGCCTCCGAATAGGATATATATTGGGGTTATATTGGGAGAATGGAAAAGAAAATGGAAACTACAAGGATTATAAGGGGTATATATGGGTTATATAGGGATTATAGGGTGTATTTATTAGGCTCTAAATTTACATTAACACCTTGGGCCCCAAAATTCCTTCAATAGCACCTACGCGCTGCATGGTGGAGACATTCAAGGAAAGTGCGATGGATTGGATAAGCGTAGGCAGCAGGAAGTTACTTTTGGTGGGCGATGTTAAGACAAGCAATGATAGGTCACCATGGCAAGTGTAGCACGCATGATACTGATGATGGGACATGATGGGACATGGTTTGTCATGCGTCAGACAACAGTTCCCGTTGAAAATATATGCCGTGGCGGCAAGCAAAGTTTTCTTGATCACGATGATGATGATGATGCTGATGATGATGATGATGGTGGTGATGGTGATGGTGATGGTGATGGTGGCGATGATGACGACTCTAGTGAGAAGATGTTTTTCATCAAAGCTGGCAATGGCAATCATAGTAAGCAGCATGTGGGGGGTCCGGCAACTACCTGCGCAATTGTGCTCTTTCACACTTGGACAAGAAAGTGCGGATGGCACATGATGGCATGCTGGCATCATATTCTGCTCTCAACCTTGCAGCTTGAGCCTGACTGCAGGTTTCATCTCGGCGTTCTGACATGAGCAAGTGCATTAGCAGTCAGAGCGCAGCTGTTGCAGTGATTGTTACTGTTAACTCAGACCCCCAAAGGGATCTAAACATTAGATCCCCTAGAACCATATGGGAAATTATAAAAGGATTATATAGGGGTTATAATGGGTCTATATAGGGGATCTAATTTTTAGATCCTTCCAGGGGTCTGGGAATGCTGGCACGATGCTGAGACCCTGCTTCACACGTGAAACCGGGGGACCATCAACCTAACTACATTCCAGCCGCTGCTTCACCACAGCAGGTCCCGTCCAATCAGCGGGGAGATCCGAACATGAAGCACCAAGACGGCATCATGTTTGTGCGCATACTTGTATTTCCATTCAAATCTCAGGCCGCCCCTCTGGAAGGCATTTGCTTGAGCAGGACTCTAACTTTGCTGTCACGCTCTGCGAAGTCAAGACAGGCTCAAAGCAGTCTCATGCAGGCAGCCTCATGTGCTTCACAACCCACATGCACAAGAGCAACCATAGGCAACTCTGTTGGCTTGGATGTGGTTCTGGCATTCGCGGCTTGAGGATAGCACACGTACTGTCCTAGCTCACATTTGAGGCTCTGCGCTTTTAATGTGTCCCTCGCAAGCAAGGTGTGGCACGGACGTCTTGCTGCAGTTGATCATGGACCCTGACCTGGCTGACGAAATTGCATACGTCAGCAAACGAGGTGCGACGGGGACGGCCCACGGCTCCTTTCGTGCACTTGTTGTATTGTCTGCGTGCTTTTTCATGTTCTTCCAATATATTGGTGTCCCTTCATGCAGTGGGGTAGACCCCTAGGCAGTTGCCCTACATGCGGCTACTTGTAAGGCGTACATGAGCAAAAGTCAAAGCATCTTTCCAGAACCGCACAGACGATGATGTTAGCAGGCTTCGTGAAAGAAAGCACGCTGCATAGAGACATGGTCTTGCCAATTCATACTTCATGGTTCCAGTTGCAGTAACAAATAGATAGGCATATTTTGACGGAAATAGAAGCAGTTCCCTTTCGGTGGGGCTACTGAATCTGATGGAGCAAAAGCAACTCCTGCCAGTCTAAGTATCCCCGCTGACAGCCGCTAGGGACGATTGTTTCTAGGGCCCAAATCGTGTGAGCTCGCGCTTGCCATTGTTCCAAATACTGCGGTCCTTTTTTGGACTCCATTATAACACTACTGGAGAGTAGAAGGTAGAACCCACTGATCTGCTTTTCAACCGATCGCTCGTCTGTCCGGGCTACTGTATTACATGTCCTGGTTTGTGCCCAGCTGCGTGAGCTTGCGGCACAGTATGGCCGGATAAATCGAAGCTCAACCGAGCAACCAAAGCAAGTTTTAGGTGGCTACAGGCAGACGGCACCAGTCTTTTTGATCAGCGTCGGCACTGGACGTTTGATGCTTGTATTGTTGGTGGTAGGGCCAGAAGTGGAATCCAAGGGCTTTGGGAGGGACTTCTTGACGGGGACCCCTAAAGATCATGGGGATTAATGTTGGGCCTAGCTTGTTATATAGGATGTATATACATAAAGATTCTACAATATGAGGCAATGTGAATAGGGGTCCTTTCTAGGGGTCCTTCCTAAGAGCCCTTGGTAGAGGTGGTCAGAGCAAGGGTCCGTGTTGAGAGATGATTGCTCCAGTATTGAAGCCCCTATAAGTTCCTATTTCCTCGGGAACTGTAGTAGTGCCCAAGGGTTCTAAATACAACACTGTGTTTATTATAGGTTTAGGTGGATTACAGTAAGGAAGACTGTAGCGTTGTGAGGAATGCGGGGGACTTGATTGATTTTGAGAGATACCTTCTCGCAGGAGGCATTCCAGACGATGCATGGAAGGGCCAGAGCTTCATGGCAGCGTACAATGCTCCTGGGACTGCCATTCGGGTCTCCGGCAAGGATCCCCATAGGCCTAAACCCCAAACCTTGAACCATGGTCGGCTCTTAGCTTTTCAGGACCAGTGGGGGGGCTTCTTTTCAGGGGTCCTCCTCTGGCACCCGTGTTTTGCAGTGACTGCGCCCAATATTTGAGGCGCTGTGTGCAAGCATCGCGACAGTATCATTCCAACATCCTTGGATATCCCAAGATCTTGGTCCCTCTAATGCGACCCGCATCCTTGGGGAGGAGGCATGCAGCAGGAGACGGAACGGCGAACTTTCAGAGAAAAAAAGGATGCCATTAAGAGACTCCCAGCGGTGGGCCAGAAATCAGCCTCAGCAACAATAGGCACGAGAGGGGATGATTGAGGAAATTGACTAGCACCCACCCCCCCCTGGACCTTCTCATTCTGTTGTAGTCCCCAGCTCTATCAAGACTGTAGCTGGTCTAGATCCTGCATTCGACTGTCCATTTGAACAGAAAACCCTTTTCAGGCTCTGAAGAACCGGCCAGCTGGCAACTTCTCAGCATTCATGCGGGAGACTTCGGGGTTTTGAGGATTCCAGGTGTGGTGGCTTGCCATAAGTCCTCTTCCTAGATACCAGACAGGGAGCATGGGTAAGAATCCATGATCGTGGACCGTGTCTCACTGCGACCCTTTGACTGCAAGTCATATGCTCCAAGTTGCACGAAAGCTCCGCAAAGATCCAGCCGCCGAGCTATGCAGCTCAAAATCGTAACCGCAGCTTGCGAGTGCTTATGGCAAAGCGGCCGTACCTGCGCAACATTGCGCAAGAAGGGTGGGCCAAGCGTTTCTGTGGATTTTTTCATGTGGGCCTGGGGAGGTAACCGTGCATTCATTGACAGACAGTGCTAGGGGCTGTTGCCAAGTTCCTTTCAGGCTCAGGAAGAGGTCTGCAATGCTGTTGCCAGGACTTACTCAAGTTGCAACAAAATCAAAGTGCAAAGACCTTGAGATCTGCGGATAGCAGTGGGAAGTTGGGAGAGACCTCGTTTGTGTTCGTGTGTGTGTTATACCCTGCAGGTATCTAGCACCTGATTGAACTTAAGACTGCCAGCCGTGTGTGATCTGGCGTGTTTCTGACATATGGCCTGACTGAGCCACGCCGTGGCATAGACAGAGAACCTTACCTATGCCTCACGTTGGACAGGAAGGTACTCAGGGGCCTCCGTTTGCAGAATTTTCAGGCCAACTGGACACTTGAGGATTGCTACACCAGCTAGCTTGGGGTATGAGACGGCCAACAGAGAAACCGCGGGCCTGTGAAGAGCCTACTCCTTTAGCCCCTAAACCTCCTAAACCCCTAAACTCCGTAAACACACTTCACATCCTGAACTCTACACCCTAAACCCTGGATCTGGCTTCATGATCCGGACTGGGTCGGAAACAGGACATCCTCATGTGAAACACCCTCCCGTGCGCAGTGATGAACATATCGTGCATGGCCCATACATCTTGGGGGACATACGCTTTCCGTACTTTGGAGGAGTGGCTCCTATCGGCAGTTCGTCCACGCATGAACAGGGATGTCGCCCCAGGCTTCTTGTTGAATATCACCTAGCGAGTTATGCAGATTGCTGGTCTCAGGAAGGCGGTCTCTGTTTTATTGGTGGAGCATAGAACCGAAGGTAGGAGTCTTTATCAAAGGACGCTTTGCTACTAGGACCAGGAGGCCGATACCGCTGATCCAAGATAAGTTTCAAGCTGAGGCGACAACGCACAAGCACGAGTCTTGCTGAGACGACGCCCGTTTTTCTCGGGTGTCGGAATCAACGTCTTCGCGCCTCGATTCAAAGAAGTGGGTTAGCTTCTGCAGGCAGACGTCCTATATCACAGAGGTTCTATGTGAGTTGGTTTTGCTGGAGGGTGCTGTTGTCTTGTGCGGAGAATCGGTGGCCCAAAGCCTTCAACAAAGGACTTCTGAATTCCTCACTGGCATGGGGCTACCTATGGACTTCCAAGGCCGCGCACTCCTCCGTCTTTCGAGACACGGAGATGATGTATGCTTTAGCGAGCTCCCTGGCTGTTCTCAAACTGGGTGATCCTCGTGATCAACAGAGTCCCCCTTATCAGCCAAGTCCTGCATTGCCATAGCTGACAACATAGCATGTGCCCTCCGAGTCCGCTTGCTCTGTCAACGAAGAGAAGAGAGTCAAAGGCTTTTAGCCGCCTTTAGCGGTTTTAGCGCTGAGCATCTTTTGAAGTTTTCGAATAAACTTTTGGAGACGGGCTATGGATGGAGATTATCACAAATCACGCGGCCACCTTGTTACAGTCTCGGGCGTCCAGTACCTTGCTTGCCAGTATGCCATGCGCCATTTACCATCTTCTGTAATGTCGATTTTGTGAAGCAAATCCTTGCAGATGCTGTTCTTTATCTGTATTTATTTGTCACAAAACTGCCAAGTTGAGCACCCCAAGGTCTTGCAACGGACATTCGCGATACGGTGCTGGGGCGCACCCAGTCGTGTCTTAACCCTTCGACCACGACAACCACCACTACAACAACAACCATCGCAAGGGTTTCTCGACTGAGCTCTACGTCAAGCAGGAAAGAGGAAGTGCCCGTTTGGACTGGCAAACAGTTCTGCAGAACAAGCTGCTAAGTAATGTTAACCTCATAATAAGAACCCCCCACCCGAGCCTCCGTAATTAAGGGTGTCCGGGACCATGAGCTGGAACTCCAGTCGTTGTAGCCAATAGTAGTACTGGCCAGTAGTAGAAGCCTGAGTATCGTGCACCTCGAAAGAGCAAGCGTTTTCCTAACCTTGGGCAACACAGTACTCTTCGATCGCTTCCAGATTTGTTTTTTTCGTTTTGGCAGCTTGGATTTTGCAATTACGGGCGGGGGGTTGCAATTATGTTCTGGGATTTGGATTTTGCAATTACGCGGGGGTTTATTAATATGAGGTCAACATGAGCAACTTAAGCGCAAGTACAATGTCTCAGCTGGTCAGCACAGTTACACATTTGGCTAAGGTGAGCAACCCCCAGCGCAAGATTAACATTCTAGTCCAGACCTACGTAAGCTGCTGAGAATCTAGATCGACATTCCTAAGCTTGAAAGCCCAAGCCTTTAACCTAAGCTCTCTGCAACCAAGGTAAAACCAGAATTCGCAAACAGTAGAAACCACTTGTACTTCCAAAGCCTAAGCTGACTTTTAAAAACTACACCCCAAATCATAATAAAGACTCCGCCAAAACCGAAGAATAAATGCTAACCCCTAGTCCTAAATCGCGTTTTCAAAGATCAGAGGGGCCCCAATACAGACCCGTACACATGATACTCCTCATATAGGTGTCCCCTAGATTGGGACCCCTAAACCGGAACCGCTAATCCTACGGAGCAACTATATAGTCCATTCTACCTCGTTTCCATGTCTTTTCCATTTTCTGCTCGATTTGATTCTCCATTACCGGGGTGATGCCCCTAAATCCTAGACCCCTCACCCTAAAGGCCGAACCCAAACCCTAAACCCGGAACCTTAAACTAGTTGAAACCACGCAGCCGACCTGCCAAGTTTTGCCGTGGTATGTGGGAGGGGGTGGAGGGGTATATTCTACTATAGGACCTTAAATGCAGAGTGCTTAACTAACACAGTAAAGCAGAAAACGATTGCACATGGGAAGCGTGGTAAAAACTCCACCAAAATGTGGAATGTTTGCACATGTGGTGGAAGTCGAAGATGTAAGCTGTTCACTTTGCATTGCTTTTGATTCAGAATTCGAACCCTACACCGTACACCCCTAAAAAAACATGCTGGCAACCATGGTTGAGGGTTGCCAGCCAAAGCTTGCCAACTCGTTGCTGCAGTAGAATCGGGCAAAAGATCACCAAGACTAAGACTACCTGGACTCCCGAAGTAGAACTGCGAATGGCTTTGGGACCCTAAACCCTAAACCCTGAACCCTAAACCCTAAACCCTGAACCCTAAACCCTAAACTGTTTACTTTGGCCTGAAGCTGAGGCATGGCTATCACCTTTCCATAGAGACGGTACTCACGCGTTTAGGCGCGCAGAGCGATGGGGTCTGTAATCCTTACACTCCTGGAAACTAACATGGAAACCCAAAAGGGGCCCTACAAAGACTACAGTCCCTTTAAAATGGGGCTATATGGGTTTCCATGTTAGTTTGGGGGAGTGTATATGACTCCTTTATAGTAGTTTCCATTTTC